GTGGACGCTGCGATTCGAGAGAGAGAGAGAGATGATGATGATGACGATGATGATGATGGTTGCGTGATGATCATTGTGATGATGGTGATGGCGATGCTGATCATCATAATCATCATCATCATCATCATCGTGTTGAGGATGCCGAGGGTGATGGATGCCTCCTTGCGAAAACATTGAACAAACGGAAAACGCTGCAGGTTGCAAGCTTCGCAAGGCAAAACCACGCTCCGACCAGCCCCACGATTTGCTTTGCGAATGCTACAATATGGGCAATGGGGTCGTGCATGGTTGCACATGAGCTTTGGCGAGATTTCGCTCTGCAAATGCTATACTTGTTTCGGTACATGTTAAAATTGGCAACGGTCCCGCATCGTTTTTTGATGGGAAAGGACAGTGAACGAAAGTTGTCAAATTCCAACACATGGGCCTTTGGTTGGTCATGGTGGTCGCGGTGAGTCGTGGTGGTCGTGCGGTCGTGGTGTCGTGGTGTATCGTGGTGTCGTGGTGTCGTGGTGTCGTAGTGGTCTTGGCTGTTCTGTCGTCTTGGTCGTCGTGGTCGTCTTGGTGTTGGGGATCTACACCGGCATGCTTCTTCAATCGCCTCGCCGAGGGCACTACATGTAGGCCCTGCATCTTGTACCCTGATATTCAGGGTTCTGACACAAGCTGGTGCGTTGGCAGTCCTGCAGCATGGCCTCGGAAGTTTCTTCACTTCCCATTCGCATCTCAGCATCCGCAGACCGCTCGCACTGCTCTGAGCACTGGCCAAACTTGTGGCTAAGCACGCGACAAAGCCTGTTGCATCCTGAACACAGGCAGCAGAGGCCTGTACTCCCCTTTCGCACCCTCGCACCGGCTACATCCGGCTTGCTGGATATGACACCTCCTCTGCGTAAGAGGCATCCAGGCCCAAGGAGTCACTAAATCCGTAGTGCTCGAAGCGGAATTCCTGCGCGGCGATTCCGAAGGGGCGCAGCGCGCGACGCGCACCGGCACCGACCTCGGCCTCGGCGAACTCATTGGGAGCCGCGAGCAGACCTGCGAGCCCGAAGCGAACAACGCACAAGCGCACGCGACGGGGGTCCATGCCTGCGGAAGTCGGATTGCTTCGGAGTTCCTTGAGACCGTGAGCGTATCTGCACGATGCACCGGCCTGCAAGATCAGTCATGAAACGATCTGCGGGAGGACGGAGTTCCTGTGCATGCCTTGCAGCTGCCATTGGCCCACCAGCGACAAAGCTCCGTCTTGAAGACAGTGTCTGTAGCTCGCAGTTCGGCATACCTGAGCGATTACACGAGACTCGAGCACGAAGCGACAGCCCTACCTAGCCTGCGGTGATCAAGGCCCTGGCCCGTGTGCGAACTTGCAGTTAGCATCGTTGCATTTTCGGCGGAAGAAGTTATAGCCTCAAGCTTCTCCAGGGCATGCAACCCACTTCACAATCCAGAGCCACAGCTCTGACGGCGGGGGCTCGACAGAGCTTGGTCTTCTTCAAGTCAGGAGCCTTCTGAAGCTCCTCTCGCTGCAGAATCATTGGCTTATCGCCTTCAATACGACTAGTGGCCAAAGCGATCGCATAGGCGGCATAGGCTCGACGAACAGTGTAAAGCCCTACACACGGTAGAGGGCACAGCCTCCTCTGAGTGCGCAAACGGGCACAGGGCGCCCATACTGCACTTCTGGTTTCTGTTGAAGACCTTGCACAAAGAACAGGTGCATGCACCATGCACGAAGTAAGAGAAATCGCTGAAAATGACACGAATCCACTTGGCACCACGCACATAGCTTTGTCTTATGAAACTGCTCGCGGATCTGAGGTGAAAATTTGCTGTTCAGCCTCGGGGCAAGCTTCCGCTTTCCAGAGTTGTGGCTGGACACAAGCGGGGCCGGGACAGACTCGCTGAATCAAACGACCAATGGGCAGCTGCCCCCGGGAAGACCAAGGGTCCGTTGACCATGTCCTTCCACTGTAACATTCGATGCTCGACTGGTGCTGGACCGCAACACCAGACACGACAACTCCGCCATCCCGAGGGTGCCTCGGTGACCACGGCCTGTGTCCAGTAAGCAACATTGTTCTCCAGACCCTGTATGGGGAACAAGGAGACGATGCCCTGGCAAAAGAAAACGGCGCTCGGTGTTGAGGACGATCGAATCCAAGATCGCAAGATTCCTACACGGCTTGCAGCTCGATCCTCGCTGGCTGCCTGGAACACACACTGGCACACCATCCTTCAGCCAAGTGTTCAGTCATACGAAAGCAACACAACTTCATGCGACATGCATGGCGGTTCTAGGGGCGAAACACGCAGCTGGGATCGACAAAGTTTACAATGGCACACTGGCCGTATTCTTCTTGCCTCCGTGCAATGAGCAGCAATGCACTGTGTAACGGGCTGGCTTTTGGCTGCACCCACAGGCCTCTCCGGAGGCATGTAGAAGAAGTTGTAACCAAGACCCCAACCATCGAGCAAAAGCCTGTCAATCATGCACGGATTGAGCTTCGAGTCCCCAAGCCTTTAGCTTCGACATGTCCTGAAAGACTCTGCTGTGTAGTGCTCTGGGATCTCGGAGATTACAACCTTGCAGTCACGACATCAGAACATCATCATGGAACCATCATGTCGCACTGGGCCCATGCTGTGGTCAATGGAAGGGCTTGCAGATCATCTCCCTCCGGGGCGGGAACGGAATCAGGTTGACAGTTGAGACGCAAATCGCAGCGACTTCAAAAGTTCGGTGCGCCTCTCTGCGAGCCTTGCGACCTCTCCTAGCCTTCCTCGTGGATGAAGCCAGGCCAGCTTGTGCCCAAAGTGCAGAGTATGCCGAAGCTGTCATGACCTGCTAATCTCGCCAGTGGCTACATACGGACCAGGACATCAGTAGGGGAGACGCGCCAGTGGACCTGGAACGGCATCTCAGTCATAGCAGCCAACGGCACGAAATCTGGAGCGTCCGCCGCAAACTGCCTGAGGGACTCATCCTTCATGTCTTGGCGCACTTCGGGCTGAATGATCGTATCTGCAGCAAGACTTAGAAGCCGGCAGCGCTGCCGATGCCTGGGCTCGACACATTTGAGGCCGCCTGGATTAGACTCAGACTGTGTCAGAAGTCAGAAAAGATACCTCCAATTCTCTTGGTTCTTCTCCAGGAGGCCTGAGACGAATCGTTTCAGAGGACTCTGAAGGTCGCAGGCACTGCTCACTGCTCCTGCCTTGGGGGTCTCCCTGCTACGATGTCGGCAAAGGATGGCACGAGCCCCTGCGGACCGTCCTCCTGCCCGATTTCTGCCAAATTTATCACAAGTTTCCATTGATTGCACTTGTTTGCTGCGGTATCGCCGGTGCCTTCGACTCCTTTTCCTTCTGCACGTGGGCTTCTGCTTCTGGGGCAATCGTCTCTTGTGCTTCTTCGGTGGATGTCGGGGGTGCTGCCGACGCAGTGGCTACATCTGCAGTGGAGTGTAATGAAACTTCCACTTCTGCTTTGTCCATCTTCTTGGAACGGACCTGTCAAATGCACGAAGCATGCACGGTCCTGCATTTGGCAAGCCAGGAAAGCACTCAGCAGAAACAGAAAGTGTTTGCCTCGACCCGCTGATCTGTCTTTCGACCAGATGCACGTGCATCCTCCACGGCTTGTCGCTGCCGCAGCCGCTGCCGCTGCCGCTTGGACAAGCCACTTGCAGCATCTGAAGTCGTCTGCGGCTCGATCTTCTCCGTGTCGCTCTGCTTTTGGCCATCAGGCTCCAGCCTGCTGCATTCCTCATGCTGAGGATCTGGCTCCGCAGCAGGTTCCTGCACATCGCCGTTGCGTAAGAAGAGACTACATCTTCCTGTCCCCGCGCCTGTTCTCCTTGTATGTCACCTGCACTGCACGTTGACAGAATGATGATACGACTGCTACCGTCTACCAGTCCAGAAACACTGCATGATTGACTTTGTCGACAAGCTCGTGCTCAACACCCACTGTGACAGTGAAGCTGGCATTGACAATCCTACTTCTGGAAGACTTTGCACCTCGTCTTCTCGTATTTCGCACTTTCTGGGTGGAGCTTTTGATCCATCCATCGCTTGCCTAGCATCAACGAGCCACGTTGGTAGTGTGTAACGACTGCATAATTCTACAAATGCAGAGACTGTAACGAAGGTCTGTCCCAAACGAAGAGTGTCCACAATGTCTTCATTTCAACTGAATGTCTGAGTGCCCAAGATTGTGTACCTGAGATGATGCGTCGACCTCATCGTCGATGAACTTGCGATCCTGGAATCGAGTGCAGGACTTGTTTGGACATTTACCATAGTATGGACCTAAACAGCCTAAACATGATCGATCACTCCCTGATCAAGCAGAATGTCAACCAGAACTTCGATCTCAGCCGCTGCCAAGAAGTGCATGAGAAGGCTTGAATGCTGCCCTATTTGCCTTTCTGCAAAGCTTTCGAATTGTTTAAGCAAAATCCCAACCTACATGTCAAACAGAATTCCATGTTGCTGAAGACGATTACTCGCATTGCATGCCACGGTACTTATCATCTCTGCGACCAAAACCACAAAGTTTCAAGACAGATCAGTATCTAAGAATTGTCGACACCACACTTCCTGACAAAAGATTTGTCAACGGGCGTCAAGCCCACCCCCACAAACCAGATGAAACCAGAGCAGCAGCTGTCCCACAGCAAAAACATGTTTTTCGCGACTGGTGTTGGTGCTGAGTAAGGCTTATCATGACAACATATGACAATTAGCATTCGTACGACATAATAAAGCGAGATGCAAACAGAGACAAACATGTCTAAAGCATACGCAGTGATAGCTGCACTGACCTTGCTCGGCATATGTCGCATCTGCTGCTGCAATTGCTACGATGGGCCTGCCTCAGACAAGAGGAGCTCCTCTTGCGGATTTGTCCTCTCGCCTGCGAGTCACTCCGCCAAATACCAAAGCGAGCTAGCAACCAACATGCTTGCGTTTGACTAAGTGCTGTCGAGTGTTTAGACATCACACCAGACTTTGCCTGAATCCTCGCCATCCTGTCACGCGGCTGCAGTTAATCATGACGACAGGGAATGAACAAGATGTTTCGCATAAACACAACTGCCTCACATACGAGAAGCTCATCTTGCAGATTTGTCATCTCGCCTGCGAATCATCTTAGCCATTCAGTGCCAACGCACATCGGGCCACTAACTTATCTGCGTAAGCCGTACTACATTGAAGGAGTTGTTGACCCTGACATGTTAGTAAACTATGCACTTGCCGCCTTCATCTTCGCCAGCCTGTCACGGGGCCACATCTTCTCGTGTGCTCAACAGCCACAACGAAGCAAAAGTATGCGATAGTATGCGTCAATGTAGGAGCTCGGTCGTCTTCAATGCAAACTTCAGCATCGTTCCACCTGCTGGAGCTTCGCCTGTGCACTCTCGGATTCACTGGCCACCTGGAAGGACAATACAGGCGGAATATCTTTAGACACAGCCACTAATTCATTCTTGGACTCTCTTATACTCCACACCTCAACTCAAGCCAAAACATAGCTTCGGCACACTCCGGTTTGCCCACGTGAACACTGAGTCTTGCTTTCCCGGTGCTGATCAAGGTAGATTGCAGAATGTCAGCCCTGGAGTCAACAGGTCCCTCCAAGGAGTTGTCAGCATGTCCTTCAATACATGGACACCACATGCACTCAACTCGCCTATTGCCTAAAAGAAGTTTGTATCTACATCGGTGCAGTTGCAAAGGGGGCGTGGTGCCTGGATGATGTCACGCTCGCTGTGCTCGATCTGGTCGCAATCCTCAGCCGCACCTCGACACACCCGCTGGCCCAAGATTGGAGCTCTTTTCTACGGTGTTGACGCCTTTTTAGGCCAAAAGCCTCAGCCTTCGTTGAGGGCACCTTGCAGTGTGTTATCTTGATTTCCTGGCGAAAAGCGCTGCGACACCTATAGCAACACCAGCTTGATATCCGCAGGCCCGCGAATGCTTGGGAAACTTCAAAAAGTAAGTTTGAACGTGTACGCAACGGTTGTCGTGCACTTAATTAGCTCTAACATTCATGTCAGTCATTGAAAGGGAGATGTATAGCATTGTATACCAATGTGGCCTTAAAGAGTGGCAAGCACACCTAAATTTTGCCACTGTAACTACGCCGATATTATTTATGCCGATTCGCCCATAGGCCCTAGAATCCTAAACTGCTGAACCTACTGCCTCAGACCTTACAACCTCAAAAATCCTGACGCGTATCCCCAAACCCTCATCGGCAAGCTTTGGAACCCCAGCTCCTGACCCCGCTTTTCTTGAAGAACCACCAAAACCATCAAAAAGCAAATCCCGAACCTTCGACAGTCCGGTGTTTCCCGAAAACGGCTTTCAACACACCAAGTTTGTGCAGGATCTTCTCCACAAAAAGCACAGCCGGGGCTTACAGTTTGCGTTGGTGCCGATATCCTTTGTGGGCACACAGCCACACCGGCGATGGCAACAATGATCGTGTCGGTGTGCTGGTTCAGTATCTGTGCAATCAACACAATGAATACCAACACACACACACACATACACACAAATGCAAATTTGCTACCTCAGTGACGTTTACAAGGCGGGAGCGGTGCGCAAAGTTCTTAAGAGGAGGGACCTGTCCATGTAGAATTTAGATGCATATACGGACTCTATTTTTGATGTCTCTTGTTTTTGCTGGATTGCTCCAGGTGTGCTTCTCAGTGAGGAAACCCGAGTGGATTCCATCGCAGCATCATGAGTCCTATGCTGCAGGCTTAGAGGACGGCGCAGTGAGCACAGACAAGTCAAACCCCGGCCTTCGTGACCATTTCGAGAGCGCCTCAAAAGTGCACTCTATTCGAGGTGCAGGCAATGATTCACCGCACAGTGCGGGAACCGTAGAAATCGCACATTGCAGTCATTGCAAATGCATGATCCACAGGCCTGGCTCTGGCCGCGTGTTTACGTTCCCTGCGTTGTGCCGCAGCACGTTCCTTGGCCTGACAGAGTGCGACTACAAGTCTGCTAAAATGCAACAAGCTCGGCGTTTGACTTGCCTCCTTCTCTTTCGCCTCCCTTCGTTCCATGGCATCAATCCATGATTCGTCCACTTGAGGCTCCTGCTGTCGTACTCACAGTCGAGCAGACCCCGCTCTATCGATTGGCAAAAGCCTCTTCCGCCGGTGGTTGCACGGCTTGCTGTGCAGCCTTGGCTGCAGCTGTGGCCTGAGAACAAGTGAACCCTTCAGCGGTTTGGGGCAACTTCATGAAACTTCTGGCCGCACCGAAAAAAGCTGAAACTGCATGCGCAGAACTAAGTAAAAACACAATTTCCAGGAAACAAATGTGCCCACCCCGGTTGCGACACCACGCAACAACACGGCCTTGGCCTCCCTTCGTTGCCGAAGCCGTTGAACAGCACTGGTCGCCCTGGCGACTAAACGATTCAACCTCAAAGATACAACTTCGATGAGTATCCAAGCAGGCGCCACGCAGGAGAAGTCTTCGTGGCACGAGCCTCAATTCACCATGATCCAACATGTCCGGCGTGTTGGGCGTCCAAGAACGAAGCCGCGTCTCGTTGAGCAGCCAAACCAGGAACAAAGCCGTTCATCCACTCCTGGCTACCCTCCAAAAACACGGACTCACGGCAGCATCGAATGGAAGCAATACATGTTGCGATCCTTTGGTGACACTTTGGAAGAGCCATTTTCCTCCAAGGCTGGCGTTGATCTGCAAACGGCTATGCTGCTTGTGGACAGCGGCCTCGTGCATTGCATGCAGTGGATCCCAGGACAGATTGCCAGCGGCCAGCGACAAATCCTGCACCAGCAGTCGAAGCTATCCGATTGAAAGTGTGGACCGTCATCAGATGTCCTTCCCTGGCAAAGCATTCTGGGATGCACTGTGCCTAAGCTGCATTGTGGGGCTTGCCCTGCGTGAACACTGTATGAGAAGCAGCTCGCGAACCACGGTACTTGACAAGAATCCGCGACTGCGTCCGCAGGGGAACCGTCCCATCAGAAGAAAATTCGTTGTGCTCTCTTCAAAGACCAAGTATCATTACCACCTTCATCCAACATCATCATCATCATCATCACCGTTATTATCACCATCGTCATCGAAATGGTCAATAGTGTTTGTGGTCGAGTCATCGTCCTCATTATGGCTGCATGAGGCTGCCAACTAGGATGGATGGCGTCCAAATTTCTGCTTTTCGAAGTTTCTCATGTCCGTAAAAACCGAAAAACTTGCCTCTAGCATGCGTGATGACAACATGATGATGGTCGCGACAATCATAAAAAGGATGATGATGCATGTGCCGAGAACGGTTGTTTCCGCTTCACAGGGACACCGACAACACCGGGACAACATCATGCTTCGAAAACCCTCGAAACCTATCACCACTACATTCTATATACGTTGAAGCCGGATGTCGACACAAACAACCTTTTCGCATCGGCCCCAGCACATGCCACATGTGGCCACCGCGAGCACGGAAACCGAGAAGCCCGACGGCGTGCGAGGGCCGGGTGGTTCCTCATGTTCGTCCTAGTTCCGGCCGCTTTCGAATGCCCATGCGACTGAACGGAACTGGAACCGGACCTGGGTCTTCCTTGCAACGAATGTGCCTCGTAGGCTTCCACTTCTTTCAGTGGTACCAAAATGCGGTCGGATCATGATGAATAGTGATACGTGACATGCGGATCATGTAAGTCATATCTTTCAGGGACGGTCTTGCAATCTCGAGTTCGAAGTCTCATTTTACCTTTGCATGCAGGCTCCGAACGGCTCGAGAACTTCAAAGTACACAGATGAAGAAGGAGTCGAGTTCCAAGAATTTATCGAGTTGGGGGCAGCAGTGCCTGTGGTACAAATGGGTCCGCTGTGGTTCGTTCATGCCCAGTGCTTGACTATCTCTCGCACGCGTAGGGCTCAGGCGTCTGTAGTCCGTCAGCACCAACTCAGACTAGCATCTATTGCGCATGTCCGAGGGAATCTCGGTCTTTATTAGCAGGAGTCGCCACTTCTTACGGTCTATCGAAAAGGCTTGTACGTTCCTGTAAAGTTGCTGGAACGGGTGGTCTGGATCTGCTCTAGTCGGGATAAAGAAAATGCAGCATTTATGTCGAGGAAGTTAATCCGAAGCGAAATGAAATTGCGCGCTGCCTCCACGAAGCAGGACTCAGCCCGACGGGGTTTCGCAGAAGCAGGGGTTGCGACCGCTTTGCAATTCTTGGAACATCGCTGCGGCAACTGTAATTAATGTCTGTGACGCTTGCCATGTCTGCCTGTTGCCCGTTGCAGTCGAAAGTTAGGCAACTAGGGAGTATAATTACGCATGCTTGGTAGAGCCAGCTTTAGGCGTGAGCAGTCTCCATCTCTCGCGGTTTTGGCAGAACAGCTGAACCGTACGGTGCAAAGGCATGTTGTCCATCCGCATCAAAGACGTGGTTCCGTGGGCTCACTGAATTTGAGATAAGCATGGGGAAAAATTCAAAGTGTATATCGGCATGGGAGGGCGGCGCGTCGGACGACATAAACTCAAAAAGCTGCTTCTGTGAGGCAAGATTCCGCCCAGTGCGGACGTGGCCGACCTGGTCGGTTGGGAGAAGAGACATGTCTGTAGGCACGGGAGCCCATGAACGTAACCTGGTATTCTAGGTTGTGCACATGTCTATACAAATCACACTGGAATCTTTGCAATACAATTGTGACGTTGTGGGAACAAGACGCGTGGAGACGGCAAGATGTGCCAAGTATTCATTCGAGCAATCCGCAGCGGACGGCTCAAGAACTTTATGAAAGAAGGAGGATTGGACTTTCAATATGCGGCGGGAGAGAGACGTAAACTGAACGGTATGGATCTCTGCCGGGGATAAGAGCTCGCTGTCCATAGCGTAAGTAAGGATAGATAAAGCAATAGAGCGGTATACTGTAGGTTTCCAAGTGTGAACAGGGAGGGCGAAGTAATTCAGAGGCGGTAACTGCTTGTGAAACTATATTGTTAAGACTTTTACGGTTGGAAGAGAGGGAGTCGAGGTAGACTCCGAGGTACTTGACTTCGTCGGATAACGGGACAGGCGGCAGGTCATGGTTGTGTCCAGAGCAATAACGACAGTCACATGCTTGAGATGAGTGCAGTGTAGTTAAGGGTAAGGCCACTGTTGTCTGGCCATGATGTTGAACGAGGTGAAATAATCGATTGAGTTGAGGGGCCGAACAAGAAAACAAAAAGAACAGTCTCGTGTGCATATTCCAACTTCACAGGGGGAGGGGACATGAAAAATTCCCGAAATTTCCCCGTACAAATTTTGATAACTATTCTCAACATCATAGAAAAGGTGAGTAAGTACAAGACCAACGAAGTAAGGTGATAGTGATAGTGGACATCCTTGTCGGAGGCTTGTGGTTTGGGTCTGCTGGGAGGATTTTTGAGAGGAGTCGCGGACAATGAAGCTGGTTATTATAGAGGGCCATGATGACCCGCCGGGTGTGGGCTGGTATGGCGGCGTGCTCCACTGCGGCATGAATGGCTGTAAAGGTTACGGAGCCGAAGGCCTTGAACCAATCCAAGAAGAGTGCACGGAATGGTGTATTTTGTCGTTGAAACACTTCCAGGAGACGACGCATAACATGAATGGATTTCATGGTGGATCTATTTTTTCTGAAACCGTATTGGGTGGGACGGATACGTTGGTCTACGTGAGACTCGAGTCGGGACTGGGGCATGGAAGCGAAAATTTTATATGATACGCTCGTAAGAGAATGGGGCGGTAATTTGAAAGGAAGCGCGTATTCTTTGGGTGAATCTTAACGAGCATGACTACCTCAGAGAAGAGCCAGGAATCGGAGATGGAGCATGGAGTATAACAATGGTTGTAGTTATCAAGGAGGTATAATTTCAAGACAAAAGGAGCATGCTTGCAAATGTCGCCGGGAATGTCGTTGGGGCCTAGGGCCTTCCTAAGGTCCTAGGCTTGAGTTTCCGCAAATCATTATCTAAATCTTGCATAATAAAACGCTGAGTGAACAGATGAAAGCTCAAGCTGCGGATTATCCACGGGAAATGGTGGATCATCTTGTGCGCAGTGCTATATTTTGGTACGGAGATTTTCTGCGAGAGTTTCGGTGCGTTGAGAGGAGGAAACTAGTTTACCATTAACGTTATGTAATCGAGTGGAGCGACTTTTTAAATCAGCGCGAATTTACCGCGTGGGGGTCCGCTGTTGAACGGAGCTGCCTTGAAAATCGCAAAGGAGGCTTTGCGCTATAAAGTTATTTTAAATCTGTTGCCGGGCTCTTTTGAATGTAAGCATATCAGTAATGCTTTGAAATGAAACTAAGCGCTTAAGAGTATCACTGGAAATCCATGGTTTTTTGGCGGCCTGAGGGAGAAAAGGTATGAGAGGAAGATTGGCCTTGATGGAGTCAGTGGGGATAGCATCCTGTTCAGTAGTGGTCCAGCATGTTTGGTTGAAATCAACGTCCTGGTATGTCTGAGCAGTTGTCACGAGTTGGTGGTGTGTGATGGGGAGGGCATCCCCTTGGAGGATTGAGAGGGCATAATGCGAATCAGGGTATATGACAAGTTGCACTAAGTCTGGGTGGGGTAAGTAATAAAGAAAAATCAAAGAGTTCGATTTTCGCTTTGAGTTCACCAGTATTATTGGAGCCCGGAAGAGGATGGCGGTCGTCCGTGGGGTTGATAGCGACACTATCCTATTGTTGGGACATGAGCTATCTGTGTAAGCAACAATAAAGCAGGCATTGACATGTTCAGTTCGAAACTCATTATCCGTATTAGCGAGGAGGGAGGGCTCTACGGCATTATAAAAAGAGGGGAGCTGGATATAATACTGATCTAATCTTAAACGATCGCGCCGGGAAAGGGGAGGTCTTTCCAGATATTGGGCCTGGACAGGGAAAGTAAATGGGAGACGTCGAGTATTAGGCATGCGCTCTCACATGCTACGATATTTCGAAGATTTTGTGGCGTTATAAGGTAGTCAAGCGCAAGGAGCACATCTTCAGTCTTTAGAGAGTGATCGGTACAGGTCATTTTTGTTTTTTGGAAACCTTATTTCGAAATGGAAGATCCAAAAATGTTTGGGGCGACAACAACCTCAGATTCCAGGAAGTCCGTTACAAAAATGGCGTTGTCCCGTTCTGGTTCGGGTATGCTCTGTCATCTGCCTGTAACGTGAGGACCAACTTGTGTATAAGTGGGGTCAATGTTGGCGTCTAATCGAGAATTAAAATCCCCAACGAGTTGTGGTGACTGAGCATTAGATCTCCCAAATGTGTTCAGAACTGGGCTGTCTGATCTTTATCGGTCTCAGGGAGGGGAAGGAAGACCTGACACAAGAATTTTCCAAAAATGGTTGTGGAGGTGTGAGAGGAGGCCACCTTTGCTTCTTGAACGCATACAAGTGAAATTTTCTTTTGCGAGCAAATCAGTAACACATGAGGCTATCATACTTAGCCACTTCGTGGAAACCCTCAACGTTCCACTAGGTGGGGGTCGGTAAAAGAACCGTAAGCAGCCTAGTAACAAAGCGAGAATGGTTGATGGGCTAGATAGGTGATTGTAGAGAACTCTGCTTGTAGAGAACTCTGCTTAATGCGTTTGTAGTGGCGTTCTACCTCCTCAAAGTGGCATTCTTGTTAGAGCTGCGCCATTCTCTGTAGTTTTGTCAATCTTAACGTTGTCCTGCTACCCACCTCTGGTAACGGCACGTCTGCGCTTCCGGAAAGTCAAACCGTCTAGAGGTACTGGAGCTAATCCCGTGAGCACCGCGTTGGTGGTTTCCTGAGCGAGGCGCCTTGGCCATAATGCAAGTGTGACATACCGTAGTTGTCGTCGCGTCCGGTGTGTTGCAAACCGTCATAACTTCATTGTGTCGTACCGTAAATGTCGTCGCCGGGTGCTTGATGGTATAGGCGAGGCACTTGTCTGTACTGTGTAACGAGATGCCAGCGGCTTCGCCTCCTTTGGAGGCCACCGCGCGTCGCACGATCCCATATAGTGTATCGTCCGCTCACAAGAGCTGACTTTCTATAAGCCAAAAGCCATAAAGACTCTGTATCATAGACTCTGTACCGAAAGACGCGTATTCCGTTAGGTAAGAAAAATGAATCTCTCCATCCTTTGGAGTGCGATCTAGGGGTGTTCTCTGAGAACCACACATAATTTCCATTTCAGGCATGCATTACTGTTTTAAAACCCCCAGAATACGCACTGACACTCGTCATTCGCCGTCGGATGCTGGGTGTCTGCATTTTTGCAACTCCGTGAAACGATTTGCCCCGGAGGGGCGGATAGGCCAAAACCTCCAAAACAGACGGAGGGAACCGAGCAACAACGAGGATCAGGGTCCGGGAAAATCCTCCCTACTACGCGAAGCATCACTGCCCTCACCTGCCTTAGCTGGTGACACTGAGAGTGAAACCTGGTGAGAATCCGGCACAGCCGGTAGCGTAAGTGCTCCGTAAGGTAAGTGCGGCTTGTGGCCATGGAGGGAGCCCTCGGGCCCGAACTGTGGTTTTGGAGAAACCAGTCACGCTGCTCTTGGAGGGGCCCTCCTGCAGAGGCTCAATCATATCGTACGTGTTTCATAGAAGCACTGGGGCATATGTGTTTGTCTGGGAGTAAGGTACTGGGCTTTCCACGGATACAGGGAATCACGGTATTGGAGTTGCATTACGAGCCAAGCCATGATTACCAGGAGGTCGTGGTAGTTCGATTTCGCGAGGAGCAGCGTACACACCTTCGTACTATTTCTTTGTTATTTCCACTGCCTACTTGGACGGGAATGTTTGTCTTGGATGTCTTCGGAAAGTTGAGACTACGATGCTATCGTTGGGAGCGGGTAGATCCTGATTCGCCTCGGTTTGTATATTGTACATGGATGTCATCTGACAGTACAGGGTATCAAACTCAACAGGAGCCAGCAGCTGCTAATCTACGCAGATTGTCCTCGGTATACGGAGCATCACCTTTACATATGCTAAACATAGTGTTGGAGCTCTCAATGGGTGACATAAACTGATCAATCAAGTACTCATCGGGGTCTGCGAACATCTCATATACTAACTCTTCAACTGCTTCTGTAGTCCAGGCAGCGGAAAGTTCCCTAAGTTCAAAAGCACGTCCATAGAATATTGTGCGGGTAGGTAAGGTTCTGAAAGGTAGGGCCCTTGGGCATGAAAAACCATTTGCTGGGCATCTTAAATTTGGTTTGTTCCTTGGGCCATGGCATCTAGCCACGTGACGAGACTGTGGGGGAACTTACACTAAAAATCAACATGTTGGAATACTGCTTGAAGATGCTCTACATATTCCTTGGTTCGCCCTCTAGCGTTTGAAGGAGCGCGTGTTCATATCCTCACTAGGGCGGGGAGCGCTGGATTGGGCAGGTCGTTGAAGTCAGGCACTCTAGCGGGGAGTACCGACGTAGCGCTCAGAAAGTTTTCCAAGTTAGTGACGCCTAGATTGCCGGAGCAGCTCTGGCATCTAGTGTTGGTACCTAGCAGACACATGCACGCGGCTCATGGACAAAGATAGGCCGAATCTTCCGAGCGACTGGAGTAGTCTGCATCTTGGCCGCGACGGCCTCTCCCAAATCTTCGTTGTGGGGTGTCGCCTTGCGGCGATCCTGGGGAGGGGGATTATTGCGGTTGTCTCGGGAGGGGCGCAAAGTCCAAAAAAGAGACTGATTGTCGGGTACATTAAATGCTGTGCCTACTCTGCGTCCGTCTTTACTAGAGGTTTCTTCTTGCCACAGGTCGGAGGGGTACCAATCATCCTGTTGTGAACGCCAAACCTAATCTCTTTGGGAGCTTCCGACATCTTGCCTTTATTGGAGGATTTGCCGCCACCTAAGGGGCCTGTGCCTTTACCTTTGTCATATCTACGGACACTTTTGCTATAATCACGGGGATCGATATTGTTATCCTGCATAGCCTGCTGCACGAGGGATTGTATAAGCAAATGGGTTGCTCGGGTTGCTCTGTAGGGCGTGTTGGAGATTGGTGTCCACATCTGTGGGGAAATCTGGTAGCTGATGGCCTCGGTATTGGTGATGTTTGTCATGTCCATGGTCTGATAGTAATGGAAACCAGCCGTGGTAGTCTTTGGTATTGTTGCGAACTGAGTTCTGGCACGCTTGCAGGAAACGGCTAGTCTGGGACATCCTATCAATAAATTATTTGGGAAAGTGTGTGATAATGTGAGTACGATGCTGGGGTTGGAATGCCAATAAACAACAAACATTGTCTGATTTTTGATGACGGATGTATATCACCATAGCCGTCCAAAGATGAAGGGTGCTCATATCCGTCCGAAGATGATGGTCGAAGAGCGGCCCACCAGCATCCGTGGGTTCCTTTGTATACTGGTCAACGACGTCTAGGGGGGCTGTCTTTCCACTTGTCTTGCCAATCCTGAATGAATGAAGATCCTCGCTCTCGGATTAGACCTAAAGTAGCGTTTTCCTTGCATAGACGCTAGAAAAAACTGTTTCGCTTGAGCTTTCCTAATGAAAGTAATGCGGATAAGTGATTCGTTACGCTCTGAGCATCCTCGTCGGGCTCCATGTTACATAATCTCGGGAGAAACTATAGGTTATCATCGATAGCCTTTTTTGGTACCAAAGGAGGAAGAGGAAGCCCATGAATAAGTACTGTGCGCTTGTGCAGCTCCGAGGCTGTGGTATGTTCGGAGAAACTAGTTAGGGCACGGGATGCTGCTAAGTGTCTATACTTCGTTTGCATTTGATGGTGGAGCTGTGCAATTCCTGGAAAGCAGGGTTCACATACTGCTGGTGATATTGCTCTACAGCGTCCTTCAAGATGGTCCCTGCAAGGGTTCCTTGGGAGCCTGATGCACTGGAGGGCAGCAGCACATTAGTGGGAACCTCAATTTGTGCGGTGGAGGCATCTAGCTTGGCTTGCGTGGCCGGTTTGCGCATGCACGGAGGGCCGCTGGGTCTGACGGTCTGACTGGTGTTTACGAACTAATTTGGGAGTTTGGGGTCCATGTCTCCCCAATGAACGGTGTCGTCCTCGTCTGTTGCTGCTGTCTGTCGACAATTGGCACTGAGGCGTCAAGTTAGGTCCTACAGGAGTTATTACTCTGTACAATTGCCACATCGACCTTTGCTACCTCTGTTGCTGGTGGAGTTGGCGCTTGCTGCTCGCCGGTGGCTCCCGGTTCCGTGGGCGCAGTAGGAGCGGGCGAAGGGGTCGAGGCTGCTTCCATGGCGGGCGTGGGCACTTCCGTCATAGCGTAGGTGTGACGTACTGAAAGTACAACCCAAACTGTGAAAAGATATGAAAATACTCTGCAACGCTATGTAAAAATCCAGGAAAAGTCTTGACCTAGGTCAACCTAAGCTATTGGTGCTATCTGCGAAGTGTCAAAAAGCGCAAGTGACAGCGCGTGGCAGTGCTGGCTGTTTGCGCAGAGCCCGTTTGGGCCCACTAAGGCTGCCAAGGGCTTGGATCGTTTGGCTGCTCGAGCCTGCAGAGCAGCAGTAAGAAGCAGAAAGCAAACAGCCAGTAGCAACTTGCAATCGTGCTGAAAAAGACAAGCCATCATTCTTGTGTCTTACGTCAGCTCGCTTCTGCCGACAGACCAAATTTTGCCTCTGGCAAAAATCCCTTTTCGTGCGATTGCTGATATTCTTCCGGAAGACAGACAAGCGGATCACAACCACCATCTGAACACATCGGACCGTCAGACAGAGGAACACAAACAGCATGGCACGCGTTCTGCATGAAGCTTGCAGGTTTGTCAGCAACCATGAGCCCAGCACCTTGTTGCAGCTCTTTGTCCTGGGGAATTGACAGGATGGGCACTGCAGCAGACTTCATGTTCCATCCGAGCTTGGCACGATGGCTTTCTTTTTCTTTTCGTGGGTTTTGCTTGGAGAATGGCTCCACCGCGGCTCGCCTGGATTCAAGGTCTTCTACCAGAAGCACTCAGCGAAACCCAAATCTGCCGTGTTTGAAACAATCGTCCGGTCCGCTGGCCTGCCACATCTGTCCTTCCACGGACGGAAAGCAAGCTCTGAATGAGTTATACAGCGGCGAGAAACACATCGTGGCACCTCACAATGAGAACTAGGTCACTAGGTTGCAGACTAGCAACTGCACGATACTACACGTCAGATACCGTAAGATGTTCAATCACCAGATGCTCATCACTCGCCTGAGTAGCGGTAGCAATGGCATTCTGGGCAACGTCCTGGCAACGAAACAAGTGCGACGGAAGAAGGAATCGCGAAATGTGATGCAATGTACTGTAACGAGAGCCAGAATCGCCAAAGCACTCTCGAACAATGTGTACACTGGATCCAGGGCATCATCACACATATCCAGGAAGTTGCACCTGAACTTCAAATTATATCTAAATCCACTAGAAATCCACTAGAGTCCGCGCAACAGAAGACTGAAGATGCTGAGAAATTCACACGGCAGTGCTCGCAGATCGCAGCGGCCTAGCGGCAGCGACCCGATGATGATCCAACACAAATGAACGTGTCCGCAGCAACTTCATGAGCAAACAGAGCTGACGGCTTCCACGACCGAGCCGTCTCGCAGACGGCCTGAATCACGAACACTGCTAAAGAGGTATTCCAACAGGACAGATCAACCTCCCGACTATATATGTCCAACCCACCTCAAAAACCTCTTCCAGCCGTAAAGCCCATCGTTCGGACCAAGTCCTGCAATCGCAGACTTCAGCACTGAAACTTCTGGGGCGCCGTATGGCAACCTGGATTTGAAGTATATGCCTGCGGTCCTATGGTCTTGGCAAGATTCGAAGGTCGAGTGGCAGAAGAAGGCTAGATGAGTCACCGAACATGTGCTGATGAGAACATTACCGCCTCGCCGCTGCAACACAAGTTTGAACTCACGAGAAACAACTCGGGCCGACATGTTCCTCTTGAAGCACTTGTGGCAGGGACTCGCCAGAACTGTAACTACGACACCGTGGTGGGTTGTGCATGCCTGCACAAGGCGATTCCTCCTTCGGGGCTACACGGCCACACATGCATTATCGACTTCTGGGGCCCTCAAGAGAGAAAAGCTGCATAGATCGGCCTCCCGAATCCGGCTCTTGGTAAGACAAGGTGCATCTTACTCCGATCCTACTTGGCAAAACATCAACATCATGCTACTCTGCTGATTCCGGAATCACGTCATGATTTTCTTGGATACTATCTCTGCCGCAGCAGGCGACACTGCGGTTCTGTGATACACTGCAGCGATTGGCATCCTGTCACAAGGAATTTCAGCCACTGATCCGACCTTGGAGCAGCATTCCGACGTCGACGGCGCACGCTGGCAGAAATGTCTCCGACCTTGGAGGTCTGCGGCAATATCAACCCGCACAGGAAGAATCCGGTCGCTTAGGACCATGCGAAAAACCTGCGTATTGCGCAGCCCACCGCAACTCCCAGGGCAACGCAACAAAGAAACCTTCCACCAGAAAGGCAGGCTCTGCTTCATCCGGGAACAGCCAGCTCTGCCAGCTCGGTGCTTGCCGAGACCGAGGCGTAAGAACTGCTGAGGCAAACGACAGAAACGATGCCAATCCTCGAGGCAAGGTGTACGCAAAGCTTTGGAGCTGTCAAGTTGAAGAACTGAGCAGCTTGGAGGGGTCCTGTTGGAGGAGTTGTCCCAGGTCGGCAGCCTTTGTAGCAGAACATGCATACATCGACTGGCAGCTCGACCGGATGATGCAACCTGTCGGGTCATTCCCAAACTATAGCCAGGATGCTGAAACAATCATCGTCACGTTTAACCTTCCAGTGGGGTCAGGGAAGCCAGGCGACTGGAGCGAGTATTGCACGATGCCTTGACAAAGCCAGTGTGGCATTCGCATGGACCCGCAGAGCAAGAGTCAGGAAACCTGAGCGGTGCAACATGGTGCAACAGTGGACCCTAAGATGCGGCCCAGCCCAAACGATCCCAAGAAAGATCTAGGTTTCCCGCATGCTGCAACTGGGCTGAGGAGGAGCACACCTCGGCGACAAGCAACGGCAGGTACTTCCTCACCACAAGGAAACTCCTCAGGTCTCCACACGTGACAGACAGATCGATTGACCGTCTGCATCTCCTTCACTGTTAGTTGCTCCCTCAATTCGAGAATCCAAAACGTATCAATCGAAAGGCCTTGCGCAAGTGCGAAGAATCTTCGCAGCGGCATGGACCGGTGCTGCACTGAGCCGGATCAGTTGTGCACATGTACCTGTTCGTTAATGACCACAATTGGCAAAAAAAGGATTGCTTTTGACAGTGGGGCACTCAACAGCTTGAACGCACAGGTTCTTCCCTCGGGCTGCGCAGTACATGTCCTTCAAGCCAACCTGCCAGTATCATTCGGAACAGCATCACGGATACATAAACGAGCCAACAAGTCTAACGCCAGCCCTAAGTAACAGTTAAGTTTCGGGTCCCGTCTCGAGTTATCACGAGGATCTATGGGTTTTTGGTCCGGCCTCAGAGGAGATCGACGCACTTCCAAGCTTCCAAGATACATAAAAAAAACTAAGCAATCAAAAACTCAGGATACTCCAGGATTGAGGCGTCCCGACAGTTGGCAGCATCGGTGATCTCGAATGTCGCCCCGGGCCAAGAAAGGACAATTCGACGTATGCTCCAGGGACACCCGCCGATGGGAGCGGCACAACCGGTCGCACATGGTGCTGCTATCGACCGATCGTGTTTTTCATTGCTGCGCCAGTAGTTCGAGGTGTTCTGAATTTCATGACTTAATGTGGACAATCTTCCGAACAGAGTTTCATCGAAGCATGCTTCAACGAGTATGCAAACTCACGTTGAGTACACTGCTCAAAGTCGGAGTTGCATGCTTCGCTCAAGCAGGCTGACTGGGCCACTGGGGGAACTGAGAAGAAACTCATGCACTTACTGAGCCCGTCCAGCTTTTCTGGGTTCCTCCTACCTTCTTGGCTAATTATATTTCTTCGGAATCCTTTCTTGTCAGGCACGTTTCCGTGTTGTCAGTTAACTTCGGAGCATCATGCAAAGCTACATTGCTTGACTTAGTCATAGCTGCAACATTTCATTCGGTTATTGGGCATGTCTCCAACAACGGCAAAACCTGACTGTCAGCACCGTCTGCTTTGGCTGTGCTGGTTGATCTTGTTTCTCTCTAAGACTCTAAGATAGGGCAACGACTCTCGGACAGGGAGGCCTTGGAACCTCACAACCAACCAGAACAAATCAAGTTATGCGCAAGGCCGTGCATTTGCAAAGCATGTGCCTCATCTTTGGATAGGGTACGTTGCGCAAATTTGATGGGCTCGGACTTGCCTTGCAAACAAAGAGCTTTGCAAATCTCTTTTCTGGGATGCTCTGTTGGGCTCCGGCAAGGAAACAACTTCCATTCATCTGCCCATGCAAGGCCTTGCTGGAGGCTGACTCCGAAGGTTCACATGAAGGCATCGTCCCTTTAGGGCACCGGCAGCTAGTGTTGTGCTCCTTGACCAAGATCGAGGCGCCGTCGAAGCGAAAGACTGTACCTGAAGATGGCCCCTTGCAGTGACAGCATCCATCATGAGGCATGCTCCGTGCATGCCAAGGTTAACAAAAGGTCACAGGAGCTTGAATTCGAGCTAGCAAGCTGCATGCCTTCAGTGGTCATGGCTAACAGGCTAATAGTTTGACAGCAGCCGACACAAACAGTCATCAAGGTCGCCGTTCACACGCGACTTGGGACCCCTTCAACCTCAACCATCCCTATAGTGACCCTGGTGCCTCTACAGATTCTACAGCGCCTCGCAGCATGGCTGGTCAGCAAGCAAAGCACAGCAACGCGTCAGCATCAACTGCCAGCGAATAACTATCTTCTGGGCAACTGTCCAAGTCCATGGCCATCATTGCCTTCGATCGCTCGAAGGCAAGTCTCCTCAACACCTTCACGCTGCATCTTCATTCTGAAAGTAACTGTGCTTTGCCTCCAACCAGTTTCGGGGTACTGGCCCACTGACCGCAGCGTCATGTCAACATGCGGATGTACCTGATAGCAGCTCCCGGAAACCTTGTTCGACGGGTTTCGGAACTCAGGCAAGAACACATTGCCAGCAAGGTCTCCCTGGCGATCCAACGTCGATCCTTGCATGGAGTGCCGCCGTATACTGAGACGCTGCCAAGGTTCCCCCCCCCCGGCCCATTGGTGCCTCGGCCAGGAAGGATCTTCGCACTCACAGGCCTCGGTCGGGCTAGCCTCTACAAACCTGCAGCTGAGTGGCCAGAACACATCCAAAACAATGAGGGCCAACAGACTCGGTACATGTCTCAGTACCTCCAGGCACCGCCTTGGCTCGGAACAACACTTCCGACGGTCTTCAAGCCGCCAGCTTCATAGTCTCAGCCACACACTGGACAGAATTCTTCCACACACTGGGAGCAAGCCAGGGCATCCTCAAGAAGCAAAGTAAACCAAAGAATAACGTGTATCACGTGTTTGCAGACGGCACTCCTGCGTCACCAAGTCCCGCTTCATGAGTGGGAAGGGGCAGGTGCAAGCTCCAGGCCTGCGTTCAGCATGGCAATGCCCGAAAGCTTCGAAGCAGACCATCTAGCAGTGTGAAGGCGACATGTTGATCTGCAAAGGGATCTGAGGAAGAAAAAGGGTTGGGTTCTAATTTGTTCGAGTTGGGTTTCGAATTGACTGTACCTGCGATGGAGTCCATCTGCCAATGTGAAATGCTGAGAACAAGAAGCAACTCAACGGCACAATGTAGAGGCCAAACTGCACAGATCTCGAACAATTCAAGCTCGGCCCCCAAAGAGGAAGCTCGAGGCTCGAGGTTCAGCCACCAGTCCGGTGTTTCCAATTTCCACGTGCGCGAACAACCCTTGGGAAACCAGGAGCCGACTCGCACACGGACTTTCACGGAAAGGCCCCGACGTACACATGCCTTGCTCCGACGTGCACTGAGTCGGCACGAACCTTCGAATTGCCAACGCCACATTGCACAAAACTGCCTTTTGAGAGGTCTGGCATATCCAGAAATGTCACTGCATGAGCAACTGTGTGCCTGGGCAGCATCTGGCCCGACAGCGCAAAAGCAACCACAAATATGAGGACAGACAGCGTCCATACCCACCTCGTCGGCGCGAGACAAGTACTGCTTTCACTGCTTTATTACACGCTCAGAGCGGCGGACTGGGATGACCAAACTTCGCTCTTCGGGTGCGCCTTGTGCTTTGACCGATATTGGCTACACGCACGAAGAGAGCAAAAGTCTGGCCGATGCCTCCTCGTCCTTGTCGGCGGTGACATGTTTGCGAGTCATATGGCAACGAAACGATGAATGTCGATGATCATGCGCAAACGAAGCGTGGCTCAAAACATGAACATCAGACAACTTGGTCTTAAGGCTTCTCCGGAAACCGACATGCCCAGCACACACATGCGTCCTCCAATCGTGCTCTTGTGAATTTGTGTGCACCAAAAGGGCTGCGTACATCAGTCGTGCGTCGAACTATTTTACCAAACCAAGGCAACATGCAAGCAGAGCGATATTTAAACGTCACAGCATCGGTTATAGCGAACCAACAATGTAATAGTTTATGAACACCATTTCATACATGCTCGCAAACATGTTGAAAATCGGTGTAATGACTCACTCCCTCACTCCCTTCCTGTTTCCCTCCCTCCCTTACTGACTCCCTCACGCCCTCCGTGACTCACTCACTCACTCTGGGGCCTCTGGGTCCGCTGAGGCTTTCCGTGCTGCAAAGCTGTGGCCAAAATTCTGGAAAAGTCTGTCCATAGGAACACGCAGCGCACGTCACAGATGAGGTGTCGTAGCTGCATCTATGGGCCATCAATCAATTCAATACGACGACCAAACTTGACTAAACCTCCGCTCACAATCCCGGCCAATAGTGAAGCCACAACTGCATCGGATAGAAGCGGGTTTGTATAAAACTTTGGCTTAGCTAAACGCATGATGTTCAAGAGATGCCTTTGCACCCGAAGCACAGAGGCATCAGGCTGGGAGTAATCTGGAGCAATGGCCAAAACAGTGTCAAGACATTGGTGAAAAAGCGGTTAGTACCAACGACCATGTGAGACCCGGGCGCAATGCTACTAATTCTGAACTTTGCCCCTGGCTCTGCAAGGGCACATGGTCCTAAATCTAAACCCTGAACAGCTCTTACAACTGTCGCCGCCAGCCTCTCACTTGCCTGGTGCACGCATGGTCCGGGATGACATAAGTTAGAAGATGTTAGGAGCAAACGTCTTCCCGAAGTTTTTGGCATATCAAAGGGAAACAACACTTAGATCGAGCAGGGGCGGCACATAGAACCAAGCAGGTCCAAGGAACGTTCCAAAGGGGGCTGGTCTCATCTGTGCATTCTAGGAAAGGTAAAGCTGACCTCAGGAACCCCGCAGCGATATGAGGGTTCCGAATCCCAGACAACTGCTCATAACGTAGAGTTCTGCGAGCGAAGAAGTCGAATGGTTTTGTGTTAAGAACTTTCGGCTTAGCGTAGGTTTGTCACAAAGCCCCCTCTTCAAGACCATTTGGCGCACCGCCACATGGCGAATTGCGACAAGGTCTTCTACCAATCCACCTCCGCCCTCCGTCTGGTGTGCGAAGTGGAACTTCAAGGTCTTTTCTGGCTGGACGGCATCGCCGTGTTCTTTACTCCAGATCGCATGGGCTCACTGGACTTGCAAAGCAGCTGTTAACTTTGCATTGCACAGTTTGCAGTTGCAAAGTTTCACGACTTGTGCATTGCCAACTACGAGATGGCTCCACTGCTGCAAGTGTCCACTTTCTCTCGCCAACAGACCCTCTCTCCCCTGTGGGGGCAGTTTCCAATTCGAGTTTGGGCTAAACACAAATCCAAACCTTCACCGGCGGGAAGGTTCGGGTTCCAGTCGAACCCAAACCCAAACCCTGGCAAGGGGCGGAGAAAGAGTTCAACCCGAGCCCGAACCCCTTCTCTAAGGGTTTGGGTTTGGGTTCAACCCGATTTTTTTTGTGGATGCGGGCCTCGTAGACAGCGTCAGCTGCGCTCGGTCCCAAAGCTAAACCTACACATCAACAAACCATCGAAAAGCGGTGAAACAGGGTTTGGGTTCAACCCGAACCCAAACCGCGCGGAAGGCGGGTTGGAGTTGAACCCAGAGTTTGTCGAACCCAACTTGAACTCCGGGTCAACCTGGGAGAGTGCGAAGCAGTCACCAGGCCGACCGTTAAAAGCCCGCTTCGGGCATTGCCTCCGAAGCCCGGGTGAGCGGGAGGGCCAAACACAGAGGAGCTGAAAGCTTGAGCCAACCATTCGATCAGCAGCTCACTCACAGAACTCTGTGTTATGCCTAACCAGCAAAGCTCTGCTAGTTCACACTCTTTTTTGAACGCGCAAGGCTCGCAGTTGGAGCCCATCAGCACCGACCTATCCTAATTCACTTACGAGTGGCTTAAATTAGCGTCCATGGTCCCTGTTTGGCTTGTGCACGACTTTCTGCCAGTACTTGCGATCCTGGCATTTGGGATGGACCTGCCGAAATAAGGAGGTGTTGTCCATCCAAACGACTCCAGACACCCTGTGAGCATGGCGTACTTGTTGAGAGGCGGGAATCTCGAAGAACTCATGGTGTATATGGTCATGAGGAGGGGCCTGATCTGACAGCAAATGATCTATGCGCTGTGCTGCCTGTGTCATACAAGATTCTGCCCAATATATTGTTGGGCGTCCAGGGCGGTTGGGCGCTCTTATGTGGCGATAGGCGTGGGAGTTCATATATGTACACTTGTTTTCAATGGACTCCGGGTGCCTATGAATATGACCAAATAGCTGTAAGCGCTGTTGAGAATACAGTTGGGACGGTGTTTGTACCCGCCGGCTAGCGTAAGCCAAAGAAGCCAAGTATTGGTTCGAGCACGGAGTGTCAGAAGCGTCTAAAACTCTGTGATAGAAGGATGACTTGATTTTAAAAATGCGCCGAAGGGATTTGTAGTGAATAGTATCGAGCTTACGGATTTGTGGGGATGTCAACAAGACACTGTCCATTGCATACATTGATATGGTAAGTACTATGGATCTATATACCGTAAGTTTCCAAGAGGGTGGGAGAGACGCATGAGACAATAACGGGCGAAGCAGTTTAGAGGCAGTAACTGCCTGAGAGACGCGATACGAGGTGTTCTTGCGATTGCTGTTCGACGGATCCAAGTAGACTCCTAGATATTTAACTTCATCCGAAAGAGGTACAGGACTAAGCGGATGATGTATGCCTCCACAATAGCTGCATTAGCATTGATCATTGGTTTGTGGAAGTGGGCCTCAAGGAGAACATGACCAAGACTCAGGTCTGTGCAAAGTACCAGCGGTTTCAGGACATGATGCTCGCTGAGTGCCCGCAACAGTGGCAGCAGGCAGAATGCGAGGTGCTTGGCGCCAGCACTGTTTGCAGTTACCGCCGTAACACGCCGGCTGAGGACAAACGTTTGATAGCAGCGAAGACACGACAAGTCATGTTACGCACTGCTTGGCTGGCTTGGCCGCGATTCATTCGTGCCTCACGTTCCTGGTGCGTCTCCAAGGCTGCCTACGGTTGGGTGGGGCGACTCCCCCCGCTCTCGGACGCGAACAAGCTCTTTGCTACAGCCACCGTGGCTTCGGCTTCCTGCAGAATGGCAAACAAACACCTTCGGGCTGCGGCCTATGGCGCCATTCTGCACTTGGACTGCGTGGTCCCCTCGGGGCTTCTG